GGGGGGGGGGGTTCCCAGCATGCTCAGCAGCACACCCAGATGTGAACCAGAAGCACTTCTTGTCCACTTCCATGTCCATTGGGGAGTGTGCTGGGGGGGGCCTGTGCCCCTGGCTCAGCTAGTGGTGCCTCCTGGGTCTGCGGGTCCCCCCGCAGCCAATCACTGAGCAGAGGGTGCATGGTGGGGGAGGGCGCAGTACACTTGGCGGCAGACCTGGAAGTGGACTGGAAGTACTTTTGGTTCACTTCTGGGTTTGCCACCAAGCACTCAGGGGGACCCCCTACACTCCTGTGGGATGCTCCATCTGCTCCACCATTGCAGCGTTCATGAGCCGTGCCTGGTCCCTGAAGGTACGTAGAAAAAGACATTTAAACTTGTGTCTATGGCCGAATCACTGATTCTCCTAATCAGCATTGAATCTTCAGATTCCAATTTGGTGGAATTGAATTGGGGACAGTGATTCGAATCAACAAATTGAATCACTGTCTCTCATTTGGGCTGAATCCGAATAGAATAGGACCTGTTTCGCACACCCACAATAGATATGACCACTGCGTGATTTAGGACTAAATCTTTATTTATGATATCTAACACGACACTTGAGGGTATCCCTCTCTTTTACATAGTGCAAAAAACATGTCGATTGATGTCCAATGTGAATTTATTTGGAAATAATCCAAATTGATAAGCAGCATCAAATTGAGATCATTCAGTTTTACTTTTACTTTTGTTATCTGTGTGCAGTTCTTAGGGCTACCCATATTAAGAGAGACAATTTAATTAATGTTTCAATGTATTTATTTTTCCCCCCAGAAAGTATTTATTTCAAAAGTACAAGCTTTTTTAAATACTTTATCCCTTCTCCAGCTTCTTTGCTTCAGTTTTATTTCTCAGAATTCGTATGTAATGCATTTTGCCAAGTCACTGTATTTCATTTTATTACTAAACATCTCTTCAAACAACTTGTTTTGTTTTGGGGTGAAGTGGTTCTTCCAGTCACCAACAGTACCTAGGGGAGGGAGAATGGAAAAGGAATAAGTGAGGTTGGGTCACTATTTTGGAGTGAGTGATTTAGTTTTTAAACATAGACTGGCTTTGTTAGTGTACGTTGTCATTACCATCATTCTTATTCCCTTTTTGTAGTATACAAACTATAATTTTGAATTATGTTTTGGATTGGGTGGCAGGAACCTGACTGGAAACAGGTTGATTGTCAGCCAGCACATCATAACAATAATCATAACATTTTCAGGCTTACATATTTTGCCTTTGCTCCCCAAATTGCTTGTTTAAATCCCATATTTAAAAAGTGCCCCTACACTCAGCTATACATGTGCTCGGAGGTGGGGGAGGGGTGTTTTAATTAGAGAGATATCTAGACAGCAACTCTAATTAAAACAGCTCACTACCATGTGTATTAAGCCCCCCATATTTCAAAATGGCTGTGGGGGTGCTGGAACTAAAGCACATTTGACAAGGTGTAGTAAACGCGCCCTCGTGGCCATTTGAAATGCAGTGGGGCTTAATACACGTGATGATGAGGCTACACTGGAGCGTTCTACTTAGAACATGGAGAAGACTCGATTAATCTAATTAGAACATGTCAGAGCACATCTATAGACAACTTTAGTTTTCGTATTTGTGGTCCAAAGTGAGATTCTGCTCTCTCTCAAAGGCTTGAAAACTAGAAGGCAAATAAAGAGACTACCCCTGGCAAGGCCTACATAAAATAGCCAAATGACCCTGACATGAGTTAAAATGGTTGATAAAAGTTCAACAGAAATTTTGTTGAAATATAACAATTCTTTTTACAGGAAAGGCCAGTCTCTTTTTTATTAATATTTTTGTCTGTAAAGTTGGGGGAAAGTTTCAAAATCATCCAAATATCCAATTTCCACAAGTATTAAATGAACAACTTTGATGTTCAAATTTGAAAAAGCTTTTAATTTTGAAGTTTTAAGCTAAAGGTTATATAAAATAAAAGTAAGAGTGCTCAAAACCCTAGAGTTGTCAGGGACATTTCATCCCAACTTGGGATCAGAAGAGTTTCTGAAATCACAAGAGATGTATGAGTAAAAATATATCCTGTTAAGCTCAATTTATAATCTTTTTTTCACAGTCACATAACCTAAGCACTTCTCAGAATTTTTCAATCTGACAGAGGTCTTAGGATAAAAAAAAGTTTGCTTTATCAACTGACACATTCATTTATTTTTTGTTGTCAGCATATTCCTTTCGCAAGTATGGTTCAATAAAACACAGGGTAATATATAAGATAAACACTAATTATAAACTACCTCAGAAAGAATGTCTATCTTTGGTTCCTGATAAACTGAATGACCTTGGCTTGTAAGAGAAGAGGGTACATTTTAGTGTTTGTGAAAGATTGAGGTACTGAACTATAGATAAAGAACATAGATAAAGTGTTAAACTGAATACATTTTTCCTTTCAGCCCTAAAGCTCATACAGAACATTATTAAACTTTTTGTCTCGACTCTTCCCTGTATTCACAGTATCTGACAAAGTAAGTAGGCTACTGGCTATGAAAGCTTATGCATTTCTGAACAAGCTAGCCTATAAAGTGCCACTCTGCCCTGACTTCTCCCTGACCTCAAACTAACATGACTAATTGCCTCTCTCTTTTAATATGGCAGTTATTTATAACCAAAGAATTTTGGGGAAAAAAGTAGGCTAGAAATGGATTTACTGAGAAGAATGTATCATCATGACCCTGTGGGTCTGCTCCAAAGTTCAATAAAGGCAGTGTAGAATCTTTTATTGACATCAGTTGGCTTTGGAAAAGGGTCTACATGAGAGTTTATTGGGCTAGTTTCAACCAACTTACCTTTTCGAAATATCAGCTTCTTGTCAGATGTCAGTGCACAAACAGTGTGATTTGGATCAATATTCTCTTTTTCTATGTTAGTTTTCATCTCTGAGAAAGATGATTTCTTGCAGACCTCTCGGATTTCACTATCGCTGATGTTTATTCCCAGGAACATGCCAATTTTTTTCACAGTCTTGGGAAGATCCTGAACATGTGAAGAATAGAGTCTTAATTTTTCTAAGAAAAATATCATATTCTACATCGGATAGGCTAACAGGAGAGAATGTGTGTTCATTTTAGTCAGAACTAAACAGCATACTGGCATGTACAAATGACATATATTAGGCTCAATTTTCTTCTCACTGGGCATTCCTACATGTTCATTAATGCGCTGTAATTATGGCACATTAATAAAGTTAGTACCTTTAATCACAGGTACTAACTTCATGTGCCGTAATCAGCGCTACTATGCATTAGTTCAGATGAACATTTTTTAGTGATGCTAAATGAGCATTACACTAATTCTACTGTGCATTAGTGCATTAGCATGTTTTTTGCATCATACACTAATGCATAATAGAATTAATCTGATGAGCATTTAGCTTGTGTAGACACCCATTTTCATTAAGGTCAGCTAGAAGTAATTCCATTGAAATCAATTAATTACTATTGACATACACAAGGTGTAATTAAGAAGACATTTGGGCCTGAGAGGTGTACATTCTTGTTTAAATTAAGAATGGCAACATGGCAAATTTTGCAGTTCAACAAGGCAGTTATATATTTTTCTGAAGAGTGACTCCTACTGGTTTCCGTGAGAATGCTGTACATTGTCAAACTATGGTCTGTGAGTGAGATTGATTTGATACGGTCCATGAGACTTAGAATTGAATTATTTCCCAAAAGGAAAATATTGCCCCATATGGGGGTTAGGGGAAGTTTTTTTAATGAGAAATAACATTTTTAATTAAGAAAATCCACACCGTGAAAAATAAAATGCCTTTAGACTTCTTCATGAAAAGCTGAAAGTTTGAGGAGGGCAGACACTTTCTGCAAGAAATCTGTCCAGCTAAAAGATGGATTATTTTTTTTAACCTTATTTCATGGGATTACAGGTTTTGTAAACACTGGGGCTAGGGACAGAGATTACATATAAATCAGTAAAAGCAATCAGAAATTGATTCAAATCTGTAACAACAGAAGTTCAGTGCACATAAACCACTTTCAAAATGGGAGAAACTGGTTTAAGATAAACGTGGATGGATGTAGCATCAGACTTAACTGATTTAGGTTAAATCGGCTTATTGAACTGCTGCCCCAGTTCCCGTCCAGATTCAAGTTAGCTCACAGTCCTCCAGCGCCCCAGGATGCTTTGCACCTCCCCTGCAAACACCTCAGTCACCGGGTCGGTGGGTTAGCCTTGGCCTAAGCTGTCCCCTCTAATGCTGTAGTGCCCGCTGGCTCTGGCCAGAGCCACTGCAGGCCTGTGGCTGCGTTTCTAGAGCCAAAAGTGAATGTTTGTCCACTTGCTTCTCGGTTCAATTTACACAGCTTAGACTAACCTGCGATGATTTAATTAATTCAGCCTCGGCTTTTTGATTGTGTGTACTTAGTCTGGGTGAATTTGCATTCTTAAATCACTTTGGCACTTCTTCCAGTGCCACCCTGCAATATTAGAAATCCCAAGGCCATCAATTCTAGCAAGTCTTCCCCTCCAATTCCAGTGCAAGTTAGGGGTGATTCTCGGAAAAGAGAAATTTCTCCGTCTGGCAGTGCAATCTAACAATATGTCCCTAAAACTGATCTGGATCTTAGCTCAAGCCTTGTTTCTATATCCAAGGTTGAGCAGATGTATCTTTAGCTTTCATAACCTCTGTATATCATTTTCCTCACTTCTGTGAAATTGGGTTCTGAGACTTACTTAATATGTATTTGAGAGAATTACTTGGCTAATGCTTTTTGATTCTATATAGGTATAGCTCTGTTATGAACTGGTTCTGCTCTGGACTTTGAGATTTCAAAGAGCAGAAAAATACATGATGCAATTTTACAATAGTTTTGGTCAGTCCTGTTCCCCCACCCCACATGAGACATGAAATATATGAATAACAGAAATGGTAACAAGAAATACAGTTACCTTCTTCATGTCTTCATAGAACAAAAACAGGATGTTTTCATCATTTCTATGCTTTTCCCAACTTAGGAAATGCTCAAACCAGGATCCACAGACAACTGAAAGAAATACAAAATAGGATCCATATGAATTTTTTTTCATAACAATTGTAACAAATAACAATTTTAGAACAATTGTAATTATATACCACATGCTGAAGGAAATGTTCTCTTTCTGCTGAACAGTGATAATGCATTATGTCCCCCTTAAAATTGGTTTAGTTTCTTCTGACGATTGGTTCAAGATCACTGCACAAAGACACTTAAATTCAAAACACTGGATGCAAGCATAAACTAACATGGCTAGTTCTGCTGAAGTCAATATTCATAGAAGCATTCAGAAAAGGAAGCCTACAAGTGTCTGTAGGATTAAGACCATTGTTTGGAATGATAACTTCAATACAAAATGCAGCCTTCTCTGGAGGGAAAATAGAGTACTTATCTACTGCTGCACAGTAATTTTTCTTATTTCCTTATTTTATTTTAAACTGTCCAGGGGAATTTAAACAAGTATTTACTCAACAGTGGGTGCATCTACACAAAATGCTAACTGTGCAGTAGCATGCTGGGCTAAACCCATGCTAATATGCCACTGTGTAGTAGTATTAAGCTACTGCACAGTTAGTGTCACTAAAAAACCATGTGCTGGTGCTACTGCAAAGTAACATGAGTTACTGTGCATTGATTTAGTACTTGGTTATATAAGTACTAAACTTAATGTACAGTAATTATGGCACATTAATGAATGTGTAGATGCGCCCAGTGTTACCAATTCTTATGATATTTGATGTTTTCTTTTAAAGCCATTTGTTGTTTGATTTATGTAGCAGCCGCAAATATGTTCAGAGTAATAATAAAACACGGGGTGGATGATAAGGACAGGAGCATGAGCTGAATTTCAGTTTCATGTCACAAGTGCTATAAGTAATAAATGATTAATTCTTGTCTTGGAATTGGAACAAGTAGCTCCAAATAAGCTATGTTGCAAAGTTGAGCCTATGTGACAGATTTTGTATGTCAAAATTTAAAAATAAATTCCTTGTGATCAACCCAGCCAAAGTGATGTACACATATGGCTATATGGTGATTTTGATAAAAAAATAGTCTTCCCCTTCGTCCCTCCCTGTTTGATGGTGGGCAATCAGATAGACTTCCTTTTGCTTGCTTGCTTTTGTGGGTGGAACAAGTCAGTAACTCATTTGGGCAAGTGTGTCTAGAGTTGGTGGCAAACTGTTTTACAAACCTATAAAAAAACCAGTTACATTTTGGTATTTTAACATAGCATTTAGCCTGTTAACATGTCCACTTGGAGGTTGAAAGGTAAAGCCATCTTGTTTTGAATTTCAACAGAAATCATTCTAATAATAAGGAAGGACCTGATCTCTCACCCTGATAGAATTCAAAGTCCCATTGAGCTCAGCAGGGCTTGTGAATAAATCATTGTTAAAACCATTGCATATTAATACTATAAAAACTACTGACTGGATGTGGCCTACATGGCTTGTAGAAAGAAAAAAGGAGTTTTAACCCTTATTTATATTTCATGGATTTTACTATTCATTATAACTTAGTAAGCGAGAGTGAGAAAAAAGGACTCGTTCTTACCATCTCCCTTTAAGAACAGGTCCAGGAAAGTAGTCCATTTATCAATGGTGGGAAGGTATGGGTTATCTTTGTAGTAATGATACATAGAAACAGCAGTATCCTTTGGATTCCTGATGATGTAGATTGTCTGTAAATTAAAATAATGTAATTAACAATGATTTTTTTTTCTTTAAGAGGATCTGCTTGCAGAAGTGTTTCTGTGTAAGCTGTGTGCTATCTGTTATACAGAGGGCACTGCACTAGGTTGGACGCTGACCAAAAAGCCTGGATCTCAACAAATTTGAAATTCTGAAGTGTTTGGAGCTGTTTTTGTTTTTTTGTTTGCTATTTATTCCCCAAAGACCTATAATACCGATATGTGAAAAACCAAAAAACACAGGCCTAACCGTACCCATATTTCTGGGGAAAGAAAGTTTTGAGATCCAAACTTGGGTTTGTGGCTGAAGTCATTTTAATTCATACTTCAGTCTTGACTTTTTGTTCGGATAACTGGCATTGTCACCTATAGCAATCAACAATACACTGGAATCCCTGGATTTTAACAAGTAACTTATTCTAATAACCACTTTTGAGGAAATCTGTATAGCACAATAAAGGCTTCTGGAAGAATCATGCCAATCTTATGTTAAAAAAAATCAAAGTCCAATGACTTACATTTAAGTCAATAAATTAGCTCAAACTGTAAACCATAGCATAGGTCCAAAATTAGCAGAGAAGCATGAATAATTAGTAATTAAACATTGTTAAAAATCAAAGTCCAATGATTTATGTTTGAATCAATATATTTTTTCATGACACTAACTGTAACCTAAGTCAAACAAAGGTTAGCACAGAAGTATAAGTAGTGTGAGATATGCTGATAGACTAATTTTACAGAGACTCATTAAAATCAAGTTTTCTTTTGATAGGTAACAAAGTCCTTGACCTTCCAAGAGGTAACAAGAGTCATTCAAGGACCTTTCCACCGAAAGTATATATACCACTCACGCTTACTGATCATTTAAAAAAAAAGTTTTAAAAAGTCCAAAATGGTATCCATCTAACAAATTAAATGTCACCATATAACAAAACCTTATTCTTAAACCCTGAAATGTTAATACAGGTTAAGAAGCATTATATGTATTGCCTCCTTCTGGATACCCAACATCCATTGAAATCAATAGGAGTTTTGTACATGGATTAAGGGCAGAGGTTATATCTACAAAGTGATATAGCTATTGAGAAGTTGGGTGTTGTAATGCCTTACTGAAACTTTATACTTTAGATGCAAAATACTGGATATGAAGTTCATGTTTTGGAGGACAATAAATGTTGAGGAAGCTGTTATGTAAGTGGGGGAAATTTACTTTGGACTTTTAGTCATTTAATACACAGCTGGAACTAAGTATGTGACTCAGAAAACTGGACAATGGTCGTTGGACATGTCTACATGTCACTGCATGGTGATGTTGCTATGGTGCCATCCTTTAGTACTTCCTTCTGGAAGTACTAAAGCATGGTGCAGTATGGGCAGTTACTGCACTGTGTGCATGGCAGATGGTTAGATTTTGCTGCTACGTCACCATAGCAGCACACTATGGCAGGGGAGCGTGCCGCTACAGCAATGTAGCTGGCAATCACATGTAGACTTGCATGATTGCTATGTCACTGCAGCACACTATATGGCAACATAGCACATCGTTACGTTGCCATAGGGTGATGTGTAGATGTGCCTATATAGTCTTTCTGTATTTAAAAAAACTGACACAAAAATAGTCAAAATTTGCATATGGATCCATTTAAATTTGGTGGAACAAGTGAACATGTTGATGATGACTTTTATATGGGACTTTTCACCAAGACCTCTCCAAGTGCTTTTACCAAGGAGGTCAGTACTGTTTACCCCCATTTTGCCTGTGGAAAACAAGGTTCAGAGAGGTGAAATTACTTGCTCAAGGACTGGCAGAGCCAGAAATGAGATGCACATCTCCTGGGTCATAGTCCAATGCTGTATCCAAGATGCCACTCCACTTTTGATTAGTCAATTAATTTATGGGAAAATACTGCTTCTGATACTGTTAAATCTAGAGAAGCTCATTGAAATCAGTGACTGTTTCAACCTGGTATGGCAGAAAGCAGTGCTTTTTAAACAATAGAGCAATCAATGTGTATTTAAAAAGTAGTTAACTACAGAAAAGACAAGGTATTTATTTAACTAGACCGAAGTAAGTTTATATATTTCACCTTGCATCCTTTGTTCTTAAAATTCATCGGTAACATGTTGTAGTCCAAGTGTGTTGGGATAATTCTTCTGGATGAAAGGTTCTTCAGTTCCTCCAGTTTCAAAATGTCTCCAAACTCGATGGGAGAGGTTAGGGTGACTTGGTTAGTGTACAGCTGCATTATAATTTGTGCAAGCCAGTGTGTGCCTTTGGAAGAGGGAGGGGAGGCAGTAAGGTTAAAGAGGGGAAAGAAATAAAGTTTATGTTATTAGGAAAATAAACTAACATGGAAAAAGTTTGTCTTTTGCATTAGCATGCATGTTTTACAGCTGTGTTTGAAAGCCTAAACCTACAACAGTAATATGAGAAACTTTACATAGGTGAATAGTTCTGGTGAGTCTGCAAAGTGAATAGAATGATTCTGCCAGGAAGGCATGCTGAGTAATAGAGATACTAAGTTTGTTGTGCAATTACATATTATTCAGATAGTTTATCACATAGGAGGTGGTTAGATTACTATTATTTATCTTACTGTATGAGCCCTAAATGTAGCCTAAGACCTTACTGTGCTATGCACTATACCAATACAGAACAAAGGAAAATCCTGCCACAATAGTTTAATGATAGTGTTATTTTAGGAAACTGAGCCACAGTATTGAATTTAAGTTTCTATCATACTGTAGCACTTTGGCCTACATATTTTGAAAATATGACTGACATTATTTTGGGGAAAAGATTAATAGAGTTATAGACAAGAAGCATGGAAATGATTTAATTTCTTGGCTTGTTAATGCAGTGATTCTCAATCAGGGTGCTATTGAGACTCACATGATTCACAAGATAAACCCAGAGATTTCAAATAGGAATCCATAGTGTCAAAAACGTTTCTGACCCACTGGGTTTCTTTCTGAGTTCCCTGCAGCAGAAGAATTACTGCTATTATTTTTCTATAGTCAAAAAACAAGTAAAAGATAAAGGCTAGCATTTTCCAAGAGGTGCCTTTAGTCTAAAAAGTTGAGAAGCATTGTGTTAATGATTCACCTCAGAAAGTACCTAACCATACTGAAAAGATTGGGCTATTTACTAGCAAGGAAGAAATTTCTATTAATAAAGTATACCCAGACACATGATATACCTGTTATTTACCATAACAAAATTAAAATACAGACAAATTATTTCTGTATTACAATTTCACACTTCGTATTGCAATAATACATAAATATATTTAAATTCTGAATCTAAACATTGTTCTCTGTCTCACACAGGCACTTTTTATAACTAGGTTAAACGCGGAAAGTTCAGCAAACAATTAAGAGTCCCTGTAAATAAAGCTTAAAGTAGAACTTTACCAGACTTTGGATAGGAAACCAAAAGGACATCATCTTCTCTAGCATCGAAGGTATCCAAGGATTTTAATAGTTCTAGCGATGACCTGGTGGTAAAAGGGATCCCCTTGAACATATGAATGAGATCTGCCTGACTCTGGGTTGACATGTTGGTTACAGGTCAGGTTTCAGCTGGATAAGAGGATTTGGAACTGAAAACTGTGGACTTATATACTTCAAAACATGCTGAGGTGTCACCTCAGACCTTACAGTTGAGATAATTAACTTTTTGGAAAGGTTAAAGTATTATAGGTTCTCCTGATAAATCACATAAATCATAGCAATGGCATTTATTTTTCTATGGCTGTGCATTTCCAGATCAGCAAATAAGATGACAAAGCAATATTTTAACAGTGGCAAGCAATCAAATTGTGTAATATGCTCATTATACAAATTATGATTTGGCATAATTTGGCGTTGTCTGTTTAGTGTTTCCAAAAAAAGGAATGTTTGTGTATGCTTTAAAATAAGTTTTATCTCAGTGGTTCTCAGCCTTAGATAGACTTGAGACACACCTAGTTAGACTCAAGGCACCACTCAGAAAATGCCAGCCTTTAGCTGTCATTCATTTTTTGACTAAAGAAAAACAATAGAGCAATTTTTTGGTTGCAAAAAAACTCAGGAAGCCCCCAGCAAGTCAGAATAATGCTATGGATTGCTATTTGAAATCTCTGGGTTTATATTCTGAATAATGTTTGCACACCAAATGGTGTGGTATTGTGTGGTACTCCATGGCACCCTTGAAAGGATCTCAAGGCACCCAAGGGTACCACATCACCCTTGCTGAGAATCACTGCTTTATCTTAATTTGTATCCAAAAAATATTATTTTCCTGTAATAAACACAAATAGAACTTTTTGTACTGTTTCTCACATGTATTATTAAAAGTGATTAGTGGTTCTGAGTGCCTCAGATTTTGACTGCCAAACTTG